GGAATTTTTTTTTTTTTTTTAACCTGAAAACCTACGGCTAAATCGGCGATGGAGATGCATTAGCCATCGACTTCTTGCTATACAATTCTTAGGTTTGGGCTCAGGTCAGACTTGGGCTTTAGGCCCAATTCTTAGGTTTGGGCTTGCGTTGAGCTAAAACCCAGTCTAGCCCATCCCCAATGTTTTCAACCCGTCATTGACCTAGCTGATTGAATAGTTCAAATTGTCACCCAGCCTTGATTCCCAGTCTGGTTCTGTTGAAACTTGTTGTTTGGTAAAAAAATGTTGATTTGGTCAAAAACCATATGACCCAAGCAGTTCAACTATTGATCCATTCAACTTGGTCACTGGGTTGCAGGTTGCACACTCAATGTATATACAAACTTCCGAAGGCCATAATTTTGCACTTTAATGATTGATTGGGGTGATTTTCTTTTATTTTAGGTAGCTTTCTGAGATCTATGTCTCCCAAGGAGACAAAGGCACCTTGCCCCGCTATTTTTCCACAAAAAAAAATAATAATAATAATAAAACCATTTTGGGTCTCAAATTGCAATTTTTAACATTGCTAATTGTTTTACAAATAAAAGATTAAATATTGAATTTAAAAATATAAATTAAACATAAAATGATATTTATATATACATATATTACATCTCCAAAATAATTATACATTTTTTTAATGATAAAATACATGTATATATATATATATATGTGTGTGTGTGTGTGTATGTGTGTGTATAGAAAGAGAGAGAGAGATTTGATGATATGGTACGGTCTGACCCATTCAACCCAGATGGTTGAACCAGTGACTCTTGATCCAAAAGCAAAAGTGGGTCAACCTTTCGCATCAGTTTTTGAAGCATTTGAAGCATTGGCCCACCTTATTTGCACCCTTAGGAGTGTGTTTATTGATTCTACTTTGTTAGTAGTTGTATGAAGAGTCATCTCATAACTGGGCATGTGGTGTGGTTGAATTTTGTTTGCAAGGAAAAATAAAAAATAAAAAAAAATCCAAAAAGGAAAATCTTCAACGAAAAATAAAAAAAAAAATCCAAAAAGGAAAAACTTAGGAGGGACCGAGGGAGGGGTTAGGAGCAGGGAGAGGAGTTGTGACGTGGATAGTTTAATTTTTACACAATCTTATTATTTTAATTAGTTTACATTTTTTATTTGTTAGTGTTTTTTGTTATTGAACTTATAAGTAATATTTTTATAGTATTTAATTTTGGATTTCATATTAATTTTATTATTTTATTAATGATTACGTTTGCCTACCCTTGAATGGAATTTAATTAATATAATCAAATTTTATTCATTTGAATATTTTTATTACTTTTTAATTCTTATTTTTATTATTTTTTAGTACTGATCACATTATCATGTTTAATTTTATTGGTATATTTTTTTGTTAATGTTTACCCTATTTTTAATTTTGTTATGAAATGAGTTACTTTTTAATTAAAATTAAAATTATATAATTAAATAAGTTATTAATGGAAAACTGAACTGGTCCAGATTTGGTTTGATCAAACCAAACCTTCTTAGTGGAGATTTAATTAAATTAACTTTATAACTTAATTGGATTGTATTGTATTAATTAAAATTAAATTATATAATTAATTCGATCTGTTTTAATAGAAAACCAAATCCATTTACTAAAAACTGAACCTATCCAGGTTCAGGTTGATTAAGCTAGACCGAACTGAACGAACCATTATAAAGTTAAATGGATAATGGGTCGCACTCTTATATGGGTCGTCCAGATTAAGGTCATCTTCTTCACCCGGCCCTTAATACATTGTGGAACTCGAAAATTTTCAACTTCTCTTTTTTCTATGCTTTCAATTTAGATGCAGTCAGAGATTTTACCCTAACCTTTAAGGGTGTTAAGTTTGTGCTTCTCTATTGTTTTCTAGTTATGCGGGGGAAAATGCAAGAAGTTGTGCAATGTCCAATAGTCGAAGATCTCTCTCTTCAGATTCTTGCTTTGTCATATATTAGAAATCAGATTTTGCGGTTAAAAGATAAGGATGGGTCAAAATCAAGCAAACAACGAAAGATCTTAGGAAAGTAATAGATTTTAGGAGAAGAGGTTAATAGAGATATTTTAAGTAATGGTTTAGAGGAAATATCTTAGGAAAGAAAGAGAGAGAGAGAGAGAAGCATAGGGGGTTTGGATTAAGGAGAGGCCATCTAAAATACAAAAAAAAAAATTATAACTTATACTATTATTATATAATTTCATTATTAATTTCATAAAATATAAAATTATTATTAATTTGATTATTATGAAATATATCATAATTATTTAAATTTTATTTAGTTTAAAGTTATTTTGTTATATAATTATTTAACTACTTTTAGTATTTTGTTATTTAAAATATTTAAATAATTTTATTATTTAATTTTTAAAATTTTATTTACTTATTAAATAAAATAACCCATAAAATTAAAATATATATTATTATTACAAAATTTTATTATAATATTTAGGATAAAAGACTTAAAACTCCCCTAATATTTTTTATAATTAGTGAAATCTCCCTCTTTTTTTAATTGTACTAAGCCCTCCCCTATCATTTCAAAATAGTGGAGTCCACTTCAGTGACACAATCAAACAAGATAATAGAGAGATACCGTGCCCACTATTCACTACAAGATAATGAATGGGGCCCACTTCAGATATATTTGGATCTTGGAGAAAAGATTCCACATAAATCCAAAATCAAAGGATTTTCAAGATTATTAAATTTCTTTAAAATTCTGATATGCCGTTGCTTCTCTGAGATTCCATTTTCTGGCATTACTCTTCAAGTTAATTGTGTATATATACGAGGTTGAGGAATCCATCAAAATTTAATTTCTATAAGTTGTAACGAGATAAAAAATCTTGGTGGGTCTTGCCTGATGTCTACATGGAAAAAAAAAAACATCTAATCTTGGAAAAGTAGATGCTATTAATTAAACTATTGCATCTCCCTATTGTCTGTTCAGATATCTGTGTTTTCTGAATACGGTCATTAGTCATGGCCAAAGGATCATAAAAGGGAGCAAAGTTGAGTTTTAAGGAAAAGTTAATGTCACAACTTATACAGATCTTGATAGATTATTAAGGGTGGGGAGGTCTTTCTCTAATGACATCAATCATTAGGGGAGGTTTTAGTATAATTTAAAAAGTGAAGGGAAGTTTCAGTATTTACAGTAAATATTAAGGGATGTTTAAGTTTTTTGTCCTAATATTTAAATAATTGTTAAATTTTTTAATTCAAACTTTCTTTAAATATATATACATAAAAAGTGGGGGAGAAGATAAATAAAAATTAGAGATAATTTAGAAGAGAAAAGAAAATTTATGAGATAAATAGGAATTAGGGATAGTTTGGGAGAAAGTGGGGGACAGCGGTGCCATGTGACTAGTTCAGAATAAGAACAAATTAGAGTAAGGATTGACTATACAAATGACTCATTTATCCTTCCTAAAAAATAGGTACTCGCTATATGAGTTTTATTAGTTTCCTAATAAAAATGAGAGGAAAAAGGGAGATCAGTCATACTGAGGTGGCAACTCAACAGGTTTGTAAAGGGAATTTTGCACTCCTCTAAAATTGCTAGGCTGGGGTATAGAACATTAATTATATCATGCCGCAACATTTATAGTTTGTGGTACAAAAAATGCATCCAAGCAAATAACATGCCTGAGTTGATAGAGTTAAAACCCATTTAGAAGCAATTTAGAACCTCTAAGAAGAAATACAAAAAGGAATGAGAGGTCAGGGGTTATTATGTAGATGGGAAAAAGAGGTAAATAGAGATGTCAATGGTTCAGGTCCAGCATGGGTCTGACTCAACACAAAACTGGAATAATTGCCAATCCAAATCTGCCCAACTAAATGAGGAGGGGAGGGGTGAGCATGGGTCAGTTCAGTTTGATTCCATGGAAAAACATAGAACCTAGCCTATAGGGGTCGGTTCCACTTTTTTGGAAGCAGAATCTATCCTTTGAAGGTCGGTTCTAGCTTTGGCAGTTCCAAGGTCTACCCCTGAGACCTGTTCTTTCTTTACTCTCCCCCTTCAAGAAAAAAAAAATGAAATATGTCATTCAATAACTTGATTTTCAATAATGATAATATATAGCTTAAAACTTGTATTGTTTTTATTGATTAAATTTAGTAATTTAATATGTAGATTATCATAATATACTAATATATGGCTGAAAATTTGTCATTATAATTTAAATTTTACAAATATTACCCTTTACATTATTTATTATACATATACAAATATTAAAATAAAAACAAATGATCAAATCACTTACGTAACATGATGGTCAAGTGAGACCATCGCTTTTCTAATTATGAGTGCTTGGGCTAAAATCTTTACATCTTTAAAAATATTTTGGGGTTTATTTCAAGGCAAGTTTAATTTCAAGGCCATTTCATCGGGTCGATTCGGGTAGGATAATCCCCTAGACCCTGGAACCGACCTAGGTTGGAGTCGGTTCCAAGAATTTAGAACCAATTTAGAACCAGACCCTACCTTATAACAAATCGGATAGGATCGATTCAAGACCAATTCAAAATTGGTTCCAGATAAAACCTACCCATTTGCTCACCCCTAGGAGGGGCTACTTGATCTTTTGGTACGGCCAGGCTTCACTTGGGCTTTCCTACCTACTGTGTATGAAGAGAAGAATTATTGAATTACTCTCCAAAACCTCTGCTAGCACTGTTTAAGCCTTTTTGTTGGAGATTGAAGTACAATGACGTGGACTCATGATAATAGGAATAGGAGCCCACAATTAGCTAACTACTTCTACTGCTTGACCGACTCTCAAGAAAATGCTACACAACAAAGTAAACAAATCAAATAACAAAATAACCAACTCCTATCATTCGGTCTATATGCATGTCAAATTAAGCATTCCATACTGAATTTTTGGCAATGCTCATGAAAGATGGAAGACTAGGACACACAACATGCACACACAGAGACAAAAGATGGAAGAAGAAAGAAAATGGGAGGATATGAACCAAGATTGTTTGATCGAGGTGTTCAAGAAGGTAGGAGAGGAAGCAATAGAATCCCTAATCTTGGACGTGCCCTTTGTCTGCAAATCATGGTATAAAGCCTCTCTTGATCCTCAATGCTGGAAGGCTCTGTTTCTCCCCAAACTCACTGACACTCCATGGCCACCATTCAACCCATCGGAATTCAACAATTTTTCCAGGAGATTTATGAAAGAGTTCCATGTCCAGAACTTTTCTGTACGTGGGTTCTTAAAGTTTGTGATTAGTCGAAGCCGCAGATCTGCTATTTTACTTGCACTTCCAACGTGCTGTACTCTTGAAGACCTCGAATTTGTATCAGACGAGTAAGTTCATTCTAATTCCTCTTAATTAACTGTTAAAGCATTAAGCCATGACGACATTGACTAACATCACTATCGTCTGATGAAATCTGTGTCGTAATACTTCTGAACAGGTTCCCCGCTCTGCAATTCTTGATATTGTCAGATACTGTGGCGGGAGAAATAGATGATTATAGTGTTTGGCCACCTATGAGTAAATTCAAGGATTTGAGAGGCTTAACACTGGGGTTATTACCCAACTGTCTGGAGGAGTTCCTCACCGATGTTGGTCTCAACTGCAAGAAATTTGAATCCTTAACAATGAGTGGTCCAATTAACAGTGAAGACGCATTAGCCATTGTTACCCACTTGCCGACGATAAAAAGCTTGCACCTTCGTGGGTCTAGGCTCCTTCGTGAGGATCTAAAGATCATATTAGAAGGTTGCAAGGAATTGTGTTTGTTGGATGTTAGAGACTGCGTTGGTTTTGAGGTTGACGACGAGATACTGAAGCTTGCTTCTCGATCGTATCAGCACCTTCTTGTTTGAGGGTTATTCGTGCAATGATGTCACTTTTGATGCATCGACTGTGACTACTATTGTAAAGAATGTAAAGCGTAAATGTTTTTTCAAGTATGGCTTTAGCCTTTAGTTTTAATGAATAGGTAAATATTTGCTAAATGGTGCATGTTATAGCTAGTTGGACTGTTGGTCATGTTTTTTTTTTCGAACTGATCATGTCCAATTCAAGGGAATACTTATTGATTTTAGGAAGTGCTTTTTTCACTATTATTTTAGAAAGTGCTCTTTAAATCTCCAGCATTTGGTGTGGTGAACTTTTACTACAACTTTTACACCAACATTTCTAAGGGAGGAAAAAATAAAAAGATTTTAATTGGGATCCACCTATAATAAGTAGGGCTAATATATAATTTCAAGTAGAAATCATTTTTTAATTTTTTTAAATAAGAGAAGAAAAAGAAAATTTTCAAGTGAGGTCCACATATAATCTTCATACGGGCTGAGCCCTTTGAACGGATTCTTKAACACCGGCACAAAGAGAACGAGCTCATGTTCGAAGATGAAGATCSAAGAGGATTCGCACCACGCCACAGAACGAGATAGCTAACAGATTCCATAGGAAGAGAACGAAGAACCGGGACGAACAAGAGAGCTTACCGAACTCAAGCAATGCAACGAGAACCTGGAGGCTGTCCTGCGCCTGAATGGGATGAATGCCTCGGCAGTTGGGTACTGACTGAACCCTCAACACGCCTGCARTAGAAAGTGGATAATATAGATGACCAACAGAAGAGGGGGGCTCGACCATTTAGGTAGGGGGGAGCTGGAGTTCGTTAGCATTCCCTTTTGATCGCTGACCGTTCCCTGCTGACTTTCCGGAAGCTGCCCTTGCTGGTTGTTTTTTGAAAGGGAGGRAAACAAGGAGGGGCTATCTGGGTAGCGAGATTGACCTTTTTGACCTCTGAGAGATATAAGAATTTTGATCAAACGTAGGATCCAGTTATAAATTATTTTCAATATTTATTAATTTATATATTAAATAGTTCTTTATTTAATCCAATGGTATCCACTTGAAAATTTTCACTTTTTTAATTTTAATAATGTCACATCAATATTTTTTATTATTTTATTTATTATTTATTATGCATTTTTGGGTTAATGGTGGCCTTTTCAACTTAGTATGAGGTCTAAAATTATAAAAGGACGAAATTGATTTTATAGCAAAATTCAAGGGTTATCAGAGCTAAAATCCAAAAAATAAATAAATAAAAAACAATTTTGTTGTCAGTTTATGGCCATTGTCATAACAGCCGATCTGAGTCTGATGATAAAGCAAATTTACTCTCTTCCATCCTTTAAATTTCAGGATATTAAGATATTTAGGATAGAATTATCTAATAAATGAAGTTGTGGTTGCATATCGTCCAATCTAGGATGGCCAACAAGATCGGTCTGTGCTGTGTTGCAGATTGGAAGTTGTATGGGATTTAACATGAAAAATTAAACGGAAAAGTACGGATAGATTCAATGCAGAATTTTGATTTCCACCGCAGAGTTATAAATATTCAAAATGGTAACAACCTACACTTAATCGAATCATGGCCCCTTTTTGTAAATCGAACTGGTAGTACCGATTTTTTTATTTCATCAAACCGAAACTAAATCGGTACCACTGGTTAACCGGTCCGCCAGTTTCGGTTTTTGAATGGTTTGATTCTTCGGTTTTTTGGTTTTTTATATTTATAATATATATTATAAATATTTTAAAAATATATAATATATTTGTAAATAGATCATTATAAATATAATATAAGTATATATTTATATAAAATACATAAAAAACATGTGACATATATTAAAAAATATACATATAAATATATATACTGGTCGGTTCGGTTAACCGTCGGTTTTTTTATAGGTTAACCAAAAACTGAACCGGTTCTTCAATTTTTCAAAAATTCCAAACCAACAAATTTGATTAACCGCATGTTACAGTTTGGTTTTCTTAATTCAGTTCGGTTTTTCATGAATACCCCTACCAACACCCACCGTGAATTGACATTAATTCTGATCTGACATCTACCCAACAGTACTTTGAGCCCATAAAATTTGACCCAGGGCTGATCCGTCATTCTCCCAAAGTTAAATTGTTCTAGGACGAATTTCCAAGTGAAAAGGTGAGCAGTTCAATTGTTTGGATCAATTATCAACATGTGATGCCGTAATTATAATTTATAAAGGCATTGAAAAGAAAAATCCAAAACTTAATAATAACCCGTTTGACAGACCAGATGGATCAAAGATCCAACCAACTCGGTGGATTGATTTTTTACGAAGGCAATAATGGTTTTTGTAAGTTCACCTCAATTAGGATTGTGAGCGAGGCATGATCTAATTATGGTTCAAAGAATCGATTAAGATATGCCCCATTCGAAACGCATGATACACAATCGATCGGATTAACCGATCTCGAAAAATGTAACAAAGTCACTCACTCCGGTTAAAATATCATATTATTCTCCCCGACTTCTCTCTTCTTTCCAAATTCCACTTGCACCCCCTTCTTCCTTAATTACCTGCATTGCATCCATGGCATAAACCGAATACCCCCTTTAATCCATAAAAAGGAACTAAATACCCCATTAGAAGGTTGCAATTTACAATTGGGAAACGTCTAAAATTGTCCTTGGATGACTTTTCTCGTGTCAACAAAAATTATTCCTAATACTAAGACCCTTTAGCTATGTAAGAAAAAGAGAAAAAAAAAATCAAAATTAATCATGTATGTATGTAGAGATAGTAACATCTTAAAAAGTAACAATTAAATAAAAACTAGAACCTTTACGAAACAAATAGTAATTAAAATTTTACACGAATTTTCTTTATTTATAAGAATATATACAAAAATAAAATATGTAGGCGTATATTAGAGACAGTAAAACCTGATGTTTTAAAAATAAAACCCAGAACCAAAACCACTCTGGCCACCGGTTTCTAGGTAGACGGTTCAACTGTCTAGTTCGAACGGATGGTCTGTTTTGACAAAAAAATAAAATAAATAATTAAAATAAAAAAATGGCCATAAACCATTGAACGAGTTGACGGTCCGATCGCATGGGTCAATGAGTCGTTGACCGATTCAACAGTTTTTGTCCAAGAACCGGGTTTGGGGTATAATAGAACCGGTTACTTGGATGGTTTCTGGGTCGAATGGTCTAACCGTTTGGGTCAATGATGGTTTCAAAGCCATGGTAAAACCTATATGGAAATGCTTGGAAATCCAATTAATATATGACTAGCGGAGGGGCCCTGCTTCGTAGGGCCTAGAATGGAACCGTGGACCCGTTGACCTATTGACCCGATCCTTGGCCAAAAACCGTTGAATTAGTTAACGACCCATTGACCTAAGTGATCAAATCGTCGACTCGTTGACCTATTCAATGGTTTTTGGCCATTTTTTTTAATTGCGAACCTTCCAGGTAACCAATTCCGTTTTATCTTAATCTCGATCCCTGGCCAAAAATTGTTGAATCGGTCAACGACCCATTGACCCAGGCGGTCAAACCGTTGACCCGTTCAATGGTTTTTTATCTTTCTTTTATTTTTTTATTTTTTTTTGTCAAAATAGGCCATCCGTTCGAACCAAACAGTCGAACCATCGAATGGCATAACACATATGGTATTGCTTAATGGATCTCACACACTCAATTTTTTGCTTGTAATTTTTATGTCTGAACAGATCGTCCTTTTTTTTTTTATTTTTTTAATTAGGAATCGTCCAGGACTAGTTCCGTTTTACCCCAGTCCCGATCCCTGGCCAAAAACCATTGAATCGGTCAACGACCCATTGACCCGAGCAGTCGAACCGTTAACCCGTTGACTTATTCAATGGTTTTTGGTCGTTTTTTATTTTTTTAATTTTTGTTGTCAGAATAGGCCGCCTGTTCGAAACGGACGGTCGAACTATCAACCCAAAAACCAATGGCCAGAACGGTTCCATTTTCGGGTTGTATGAGTCACATGCTCGAATGACATAACACGTATGATACTACTTAATGGACCTCACACACTCAATTTTTTGCCTGTAATTTTTGTTGTTAGAATGGATCAACCGTTCAAACTAGACAATTGAACCATCGACCTGAAAACCAGTGGTCATAATGGTTCTGTAATTTTTTGCTTGTAATTTTTTGTTGTCAGAACGGGCTTTTTGTTCGAATCGAATGGTCAAACCGTCAACCCAAAAACCAATGGCCAGAACGGTTCCGTTTTTGAGTCGTATGAGTCACATGCTCAAATGACATAACACATATGGTACTACTTAATGGACCTCACAAACTCAATTTTGTCCTATAATTTTTGTTGTCAGAATGGAACCGTTGACCTGTTGATCCTTTGATCTGATCCCTGGCCAAAAACCGTTGATCAATCAACGACCCATTAACTCAAGTGGTCGAACCATTAACTCATTGACCCATAAAATTAGCCATTTTTTATTTTTTTTTAATTGGGAACCATCCAGGCAACTAGTTCCGTTTTATCCAAATCTCGGTCCCTAGCGAAAAATCATTGAATCGGTCAACGACCCAATGACTCAAGCGGTCGAACCATTGATCCGTTTAATGGTTTTTGGTATTTTTTTATTTTTTTAATTTTTGTTGTCAGAACGGGCCATCCGTTCGAATCGAACAGTCAAACCATCGACCCAAAAACCGATGGCCAAAATGATTCCATTTTCAGGTCATATGAACCGCACGCTCGAATGACATAATATGTATACTACTACTTATTAATAGTTTTAATTAATTAACTATTAACTATTATTAATTAAAAGTTAAAATGACCCTAAAGCCCAATAATTTTAATTAATTAGCTATTATTAATTAAAAGCTGAAATAGGCCCAAAGCCCTATGCTAATGGGGAATTGGCGAATTGGCCATTTTCAAAAATATTTAATGATTAATAAACAATTAATAATGAGCCTAGGTTTTAATTAACTATTATTTATTGTTCATTGAGAAGTATA